AATACTTTCTAAGCCCCGTTCCTAAAAGGACTTCCTGCCGTTTTACGACTGGGGCGGGGCTCAGAAAGTATCTTTTGTGCAGAATATGTCAAAAAGGAGGGACTCCTCAATGCATATATAGAGGTACCAGACATGTTTTGCAGTACCAGGTACTCTATTTTGTAGTCTGTGAGAGGGAAATCACAAATCGTGTGTCATCAAAATACATGGCATGTCAAGAGATTGTGATCGTGAGAGAGAATTTTCTCTCTCAAACAATTTCATCTTTTAAGAATGAGAATTATTCGTATCCTAACCAGGTCAAGGTAAGTGGTACATAAATTCTGAAGCATGTTTTTCGTTGAAAACGAAATTTTGTAAATGAAAATGTCTTTGCCTCTGTTCCGGTAGGCAAGTAGAATGCAATGAACACATGTTCTTGAACGTAATTTTTGTTTTTGAACGAAAAAACTGGGTTTGATTCTCCGAAAATTAATGACGTCTTCTTTCACCTGAAGGGAATTTCAGAGATAATCTCTAGAAGGGTACTGATCCTAAGGAAATTCTTGACGATATTCTAAAGAAATCCCGTAAAATGTTCTGAGCGAATTACCAAAGTAGTTGAGACATAGATAAATTCTGATGATATCTGACGCAGCAAAAAATTAAAGATCTAGGGAAGTGTTGCTGTTTGTAGTAATGATCCCAGGGCTGGTAGCAGTCACTTTTTCAAGTCAGTCACTAAAAAGTCTCCTTTTTGAAGGCCAAGTAACTAGTCACTTTTTCTTGTAACAACTCACTATTTTCAACTTTTTTTAGCGTGAATTTATTTCAAGATTGATTATTCTTTGCTTTGTGACGTTTAATAGTCTTTCTCTATATACAGGATGTCTACTTATCTTTCTAAATAAAATTACCTGAGTTTTCCAAGTAAGCAATACCAAGATCTAAAAATATTCAGTGTCTTGAAGTTTTGTATTCCATGTACAAGTTCAAGCTGTTGAAAATTTTCAAAGTGCCAGAATTAAGTAAAAAAATAAATGATTTATTTCAAGTTCGTAATTAACTTTATGAAAGATTGGAGATCTTCAATGCAGCACCATCAACTTCATAACAATTGTAGGAACTTTGGAGAAGTTCTAAGGAATGAAAGGAAATGCAGAGAATTTCAGTGAAGCTTGTTTATGGAGCAGGAACTGCAGGAACATAAGGGAAGTTAACACGCTGAAAATATGGGGAACTTACTGAAGCTTTAAGAACCTCAAAGCGGTCATTTTAGCATCCGAGACTTTTCAGGAACTTTTATCAAGTTCCTAGAATTTCAGAGAACTTCACAAGTGTCAAGCGAACTTGAGAGATATAGAAAACTTGAGGGTTATTGTGCAAATTTTTAAGAAGTTCTAAGCACCTCAGAAAAGCTAGATCTAGAGATCTTTGGAGAATTTCAGATCTTAAGAGCAGTTCCCGTAACTTTAGTCCAGACTTTTGGAGCAGGTTAAAGATCTATAATCGTAAATTTAGATAAATTCAGGATAGTTCCATGATGTGCTGAAAAAGAATGGAGAACCCTTAAGATGTTCCGAGAATTTCAGGGAAGTACAGATACCTTCAGAAATATATCAGAAACTTCACAGAAGTCCAGAGAATTTCAGGGAAATTTAAAGGTGTTTACGGGAATTATATTTATTTCCGAGCAGAACCGAGATCTTCAATAGAATTAAGAGCTTTATGGAAGCGTCGAGAACATCAACACAGGTCAGAGAATCAAAGGGCAGTTCAAATAATGTCAAGGAAATTCAAGAAACCTTAACGAAGTTTCGAAATATTCAATGAATTCCTAAAAACTTCAGCTACGAGAGAATTCCTGGAATTTTTATGAACATCCCGAAGACGTGAGAATATTTTAAGGGTGTTATATCATGGAGACGACTATTGAAGAAGTTTTAGATTAGTGTCGGTAAATTAAAGGAAATTTTATAAACTTCAGAAAAGTCTTTTAAACTTCAGTGAAAATCATAGAACTATATTAATTATTTCGTTCTAACTTCATGTAAATTGAGGGAGCACAAAAGTTCCAGAAATTTAGAAAAACTTCGGAAACTTCACAGAAGGACAGTGGTCTTCAGAAACTAAAAAAATATTATTTTTTTTTTCTTATTGAAGATTAATCCGCTTTGAATCTTTTAAGTTTAAAGTGTGAATGAAAATAACGAGAAAAAATAAATGGTTGTATTTCAAAATTCATTATTTTTTTAAAACATCCTTAGTAAGAATTTTTTTTAAATTCTTTGAGACTTCCAGGTAATTTAAGGAAACAAAAAAAATCCTGAGGATTCCCGGTTTTCCAGATGTTTGAAGTTAGTAGACACCGTGACTAATACCGTGGGTTATAAACTTTCTATTGAATCTTTCGGTTTAAAAGTTCATATCGTACATAAGTGTTTTTTGAGATAATAATTGAATAAGTCTTCTCTTAGGTCACTTTTTAGTAATTATTTTTACAACTATAAGTCACTATTTGGTCACTTATTTATTCAACATGGACACTAAAATCACTATTTCTTACAGCAGTGATCGCTACCAGCCCTGCTATTACCATGATGGCTAATGAGAGTTATCTTTTGGCAGCTCTAGTAAACAAACCAAATTATTCGCGTGACTTGTGTAGCGTCCAGTCAATGGTCTCTTATCACTACGGCATTAATTACCCACCGTATGATTCATCATCAGCAAAGCGCTAGCCGAATAAAAGCTAACTGAGGTACGATTATCGCCCGTTTCCGACACGGTCGATCAGACGTAGTCAAAATTGAGTCGAGTCGACTCATTTTCGTCAAAAGTGAGTTGAATTTTTTGATGAAAAGCCGTGATAACCAGGCGAAACTTGTCGAATATGAGAAACATCCATGAAATTTTGTCTTAGTCTAGGCTCAGTCTAGACTGAGTGAATCGATTACAGAGTTATACCTCAAAAACCCCTCACCCATCAAATGAGCTAGGCAAAGGAGTCCGCATTTGGTTAGTATTATTGCATTCAATGACCCTCGCTCAATTTCAACTTCTGTTCAATTTTCACACTGCCGTACTCTAACGGAACTTTCAATTCTATCCTCTTCAGAACTTTCTCTAGCATATAAAATATTGCACTTATGCTTCATGTTGATATTAGTATAGCATTTCCTCCCAACTCTGTAATCGTAAACTTCACGTACGAAGCAACCAAACACTTTGATCGAATGTGAGAAGTTTTCCCCCGGAAAATTCAACTCACTTTTGACGAAACTGAGTCGACTCGACTCAGTTTTGAGTCGATCTGATCGACCGTGTAAAACAGCAAAGCAAAGAGTTACAATTTGACAAATGAACAACATCGACATGAATCCGATCGACGTTGTTAATTTGTCAACTTGTTACTCCCAACATAGTTTACCCATTTTTGGGTAGGTTCAGTTTTGACAAATCTGGGTGGATTCTACCCAAATTTGGGTAGTTTTGAAATAGCGTGTACTTCCATGTTTACTCGATTTGGGTGTTTGAGCGACGATAAGCTTGAGCGAAACAGAAGAGGTAGGTTCCTACTCAGTTCTAATCGCTCGGGGGGTGTGTGTGATGTGTACACGCTGCGATCGCAAAAAGTAATGACAGTTACTGAATTCGATTACAATGTAAATTGAACGTCGTGGGTTATCTCTGACTTGAGTTCTGGTTGGCAAACACCGCGATGAGCCAGCCTCACCTGAGCCTGATTTAGGGTTCCTTATCAGTGGAGTGTGCTCCACTCCTGACATGACTGTTGCCAGGTCGGCAAATTTTATGCACTGTTGTATGACATCGAAACCGATAGTCCCATCACTTCCGGTAAGCGGTTGACTTTATGGGATTCAAATTTGGTCACCGCTAAGCAAGCAACAAGCGACTTCGAACTTCCTTCCATTTTCACCGGTTTGTATTTAGACTCAAACTTGCTACGTAATCGAAGACGACGACGGCGACGGCGACGACCACGCTAGATGCGAGAATCGCATAAAAATGAGCCATACACACTGTGCCATAATTACCGAGCAAGCAACGGCCAACAAGTGTTTGTATGTGGCCCCAAAGTGGTGTGCCTCGGTCGAACCCCCCTGCTTTTAATAAATGCTGGTGCGAAGCAATGAGAATTTTTGCTTTCGTTGCTCGTTCGAGGCCATTGAACTGGCGCGGAGGTTCGTCACACCCGACGACCCGCTGCCACCGCGTCGTTGCCCTCCCAATAGAGAGCGACTCCGACTGTGACTCCCCACTGCGGCGTGACATGATGGGGGTCATGCCGCTGGCCACCAGAGGGAGTCCCCAGCACTCATGTCTTGAATAATGATTTCGGAGAAGAAGGAATCCGGAACGTGCATGGTGAAATCGAACGGGGACCAACCAGACACAAACTTCATTATACTAACACGGTCTTAATCATATCAATTACGAGACGAGTGTGTGGGTGCGTGTGCAAGGGGCACCACTCTAATGCAATTCGACACCCTCAACTCACGCTCCATAGCAAAATACCAGATGTGATTTACGATCGGTGTGATTTCCGTGGTTAATCATCGCTCATTGTTCGGTTAAATATACAGAAATTACCAAACACGATAATGATCATCGCACGTCTACTTAGTGGGGTTTGATGACAACTCCGGTTAGTCATTCCACTCCGAATATAGCCATAACTAAGTTTTCCGAAAAAAAAAGGTAAATCACCCGGTTAATCGGGTAATGTTGGTGCTAATTTGTTCGGGCATAATTTAACGCCCAATTAGACGCGGCGTTTGCAAATGAAACACACAAAACTGGAACTTCTCTGGGGTTGGGATAATTAGCGCTGGGATTGTATGTAAATACGGTTGCGAATTGATAAGGTTAATTGACTGGAAGTTGTGGATATAGTAATTGATTCTGTTTTACTCCGTCAGTTCGGTCGGTTCTGTATTTGAAACTGGTTTTCCAACGAGTAATAAACATCTAAAATTTCTTCTCTCCCATTTCAGATCCTCGGACACAGAACTGGCCTCTGATGTCATCTCCCTTCCCCACATTAGCGCTATGTTTAGGATATGTTTACTTAGTCAAAGTGAGTACCTACCCTACAATAATTGCAGCATTTCCTCACCTCAACCGATGACCTTGACCTTGACTGTGCCTCTGGATACGGTGCATTAGCAAATTATGGTCCACTTCATCGTCGTCCGTTCATTCATCCATTCATTCATTCATTCATTCGTTACAGTGGTCGGCGGCCTTTGCCTAATTTTCACATCGAATGAGTGCTTTCGTGCACTGCGCTCACTACTTCACTTTCTTCTTATATGGCGTCCCTATTGTTATTGCAGCTGTCAAATTATGTTCACACGGTTCACCTCGTGTTTCTTTTTTGCCTTCTTCTTTTTTCGTTGCCGCCCAGATACATTGTCAGAGATAATTGACCGCCGCAGCTTCGTCGAAGGTCCGTAACTGACCTCGGGCTAGGAGGAGATAGAGAGATAGAGTGGGCTCGACTCGGTTCGTATGGCGTAACCAACGGCGACGGTAGTCAGCTGTTCCGCCGCAAGCACAAGCTACCGTGAATCAATCCTAACCTCAAACCGCTCAGCACTCTGTGTATCGCTCTCTCTCTCTCTCTCTCTCTTTCGCAGTTGTTGATTATTTATTTTGTTTGTTTAATTACGACATTGCACGGCCAATGAGAGTAACTCGGCGACTGAGTCGAATTCGAGCGTTGTCAAGTCAATCTGGTCTAGTTAAAATCCGGAGTGATTTGAGATTTGAGCGTATTTGCTTTTGAAAACAAACACGTCAATTACTGATTTCTCTTGAATAAAAGCTCAATCTCACAAACAAACTATACCAAATGATAGAGGAATCATTCCTCTACCTCATAGTGTTATTACGTTACGAGATTGAGCTTTTATCCGCGAGAAATCGATGATTGACGTGTTTTTGTTTACAAATGCAATTACGCCCAAATCTCAAATAACTCCTGAAATATAACATCATAGGATGGCCAGCGAACCGGGAAATAAGCGGGAATTATAAAAGTCATGAAGATTTCAGCTTATGTGTTACTTTTCCAATGGTAATCTATTCGAAATCAATAAACAGTTGAAATCTCTTCTCGCACCTTGGAATTATCTTCGAAATTCCATTAGAATTTCCTCCACAGAAATCCTTTCAGGGGAAACATGTCAGAAGGGTCTAACTCGAAACGTAAACAATGACTTGGATCGTCGTTTTCTTATGAATGACAACACACCCACTCAAATTAACTAAATCATCTGACAGAGCAATGTTTGGTTCTATGAGCTGGTGTAGTCAGATTTCGTGGGTTTGTGGTCATTCAAGAGAAATCGACGTTCAAAGTCATTGTTTACGTTTCGAGTTATACACTTCTGACATGTTTCCCCTGCTTTAATCCTTTACTGAGAGTACAAAGTTTGCTTTGAAAATATTTTATTGAAAGCTCTTCTCAGGAATCCTAGCATGTGAAGGTCAGAATTGAAAACTTTCCTGGACCTATTTATAAATTTCTTTGAATTCTCTTCAAAATTGTGCTGTTCACAACCTTTATGAAATTATTCGATGAATTACTTAGGTATTTTCAGAACTTTCTTCCCAGACATTCTTTGGAATTCAACTCACAAGTCCTTAGGCCGTTCTCTGGTCAGATGTTTACCAAAATTCTGTGATAATTCTTCACAGCATTTATCTCGAATTAACACTTCAATTCCATTTCAATTCTTTTTAAACATTCCATAGGTACTCTTATCAGAATTCTATAGAAATTCTTTCCTAATTGTTGGATCCTTGAACATACTTCCAAGCTGCAGAGTCTTGAAAATGTCACAGACTAAAACAATGATTTTTTTTTATTATTATTTGGGTTCTTGGAAATTTTTATACCTACATATACTTCGGCAGTTTTGACGTAGGACTACGTCTGTGATTTCTATATGGGGGTACACTTTGTGAAAACCGAGAATGAAACATGTAACAAAATTATGAAAGATTTTGAACGTTAATAACTCAGCTGCCCCTGGACCAATTTCAATGATTTTATCATCAATCGATCAGAAATATTTTTACGGATCTACGCAAATTTAAGACATTATCATCTTTTAAAATGTCACTATTGAAAATTGCACGAATGTGCAACTGTTGTTATGATAATTAAAATTATCACCGATTGCTTGCGAAAAGCGATTTCCCTAGCACAGATTTCAAAGTTGAATTCCATCCGGTCTCACCAAACGGTGTTTATTCAATCACCGCGTGGTGAGTGGTGGTGTTCTCCAGTACACAACGAAAGGCAGCCGCCTGCAAGCAGCGAGCTGCAGCCCACATGGGCATCCATAGAAGGAGGAAGAAACCGCACTGATATTGATCGGAATCAGTAGCTCTTCGTGAGTCGCTGTGGGCCATCTATGTCAAGCGTCTTTGGATTCCCTATATATTTTCTACTCTGAGATATGGCATGGCTGACAGGCTTATCCGAAAACTCAAAACTTGTGTCGTTTGTTCAAAAATGTGTCATTTATTGAAAGCTTCGAGTGGTGTATTCTCAATTTGGCTTTACTTAATCAAAACCTAGTTTTTGAACGATTTTTTTTTTGACGGCAGAAAGCAGTCATAGCCTGAAACATAATTTCTTCATGGCAGCAGCTGCATCCGTAGATCCGTTCCTTGAGAAATTCCTGACAGACGCTCTCGCAAGTAGCCATTCGCGCTGTAGATCATGATTTAGTGTTGTAGACTGCTTTAAAACCTTGATAAAACTTGAAACGTTACTTTTGATGGTACCCTTTCTAGGTCAACACATTTTTTGTATTAGTAAACGTATTGTGTGGCAAGGCAAGGAAAATTGTACTTATAATAACACAAAATTTCTTGGTTGGACTGGCCTCTCTTCACTCATAAGTTCTATGTCATCCTAGCAACAACTAAATTTTTAAAGTTTGAAGCAATTAATTGCAGAATAAATCAAAAATTGGCTGTTTCTGTCGCTTTTTAGTAAGATCTGATTCAGATAGAATCTGCAGAAGGTATCCCAAGCAACATTGCAAGTTTTATCGAGATTTTAAAACATTCTTCAAGCCTAAATCATGGTCTAAACTGCATATAATCGCATATCAGTCCCAAATGGATTTTCGTTAATTTTAAGATAAAACGTTATCCTCTATCAATTGACATCGATTTTCATATTACGTGATAAAACTACGGGCTTTGATCATGAAAAATGAGAAAACAACATGAAGTCTGTTTGTCCCACTAGGCAAAGTAGTTGCATATCAGCCCCATCCTGAAATTCTATCGTCAAGATTTTCAGTTCTGCTTTTTGGATCGCCTTATTTTGCGGTGATATAACCAAACAAGCAAGCCTCATTGTTTAACTGATTTAAACTAAAAAAAAATAATTTACTATTATTTTTCAAATGGGAATTGCACTTCGTAACATCCGCTACCATTTTCTCAATGCCTACGTTTTCCATATAGGACTGATATGGGATTAAAGGCAGTACATAACCATCATAAAACCAAAAATTATAGTAGGGAAAGGATCATGCTAAATAATCTAAAAAACAGTAATGGTAAAGTAAAGTTCTGGCAGTTCCGCTAGAGTACGGCAGTGTGAAAATTGAACAGAAGTTGAGGAAATACCTCAAAATCCCATCACCCATCAAGTGAGCTGGGCAAAAGTGTCCGCATTGGATAAGTATTGTTGCATTAAATGGCCCTTCGTTCAATTTTCACACTGCCGTACTCTAACGGAACTATCAACTCTTTTCTTTTCAGAACTTTTTTCTATCTAATAAATCATCGTACAATGCAGATATTAGTATAGCATTTCCCCCCAACTCTTAGCGACTTAATTTTTCTTAGTGCGGCATAGAGAATCATAAAAATGTCATAGTTTCCGACACTTTGGAGTCTCATAATTTATTCGAAATCTTGAGGTGGTTTTACTAGTCCGATAATGGGGTCCGACTCGTGTTAGAAAGTTTTCTGACACCGGGATGATCATTATTTTGAAAGCATGAAATTTTAGCAACTGTTCGAAGTTTCAAAATTTTAAATCCTATTAACCAAATCCTGTATTTTGAATTTCTCTGTCGCAAATTATCAATTTCTAAATTCCCTACGTAGACAAGATATAGGATGTCTATGGAATTTTCACCAGAATTTAATTAGAATCATTCCCAGATATTTAGGATTCTCCTGATTTATGATTCTCTCTGGCATTCTCTTGAATTTTGTTTTCCCATAACAGTTTTCTGAATTCCATTTTAGGAATCCCTTCTATGAAACTCTTAGAATTCACACTTTTCTAGTTCCAAAGAATTTCCTTGGGGTTCATTTGAGAATTGTCTTGTAAATCTAAACTGCGATATTTAGGAATTTTCATGATTTTTTTCAGTAAATTCCCTTCTAAATTCAGCTTAGCATTCTCGAATTATCATATCGGAATTCCCTTTAAATTATGTCAAGGCTTTGTTTTAAAATTGACAAGGATTCTCCTTGCAATTTCCATGCATATATCTTTTGATTTCCTTTGAAAACTACGTATTTTGATCTCACTACAGACTGCATTCCAAAAGATTAAACGTTATCCGGAATAGTAATCAGTGTCCCAAGCAACAATGTTGGTTTTATTACGCTCTTGTTGGACATATGAAGCCCATATATCAATATCTATTGGTAATAAATGGCCAACTGTATTTCAAGCATGCCACGGTTTGCTTCCGGTGGAACTATAGGCATGCACATAGGGGAAATGTCTCTAATGTTGGCCTATGGATCTAAGATTGGGCGCATCGCTAAAAATCTGCTATTAATCAATTTTATCTAGATGAACGCGTTATTGGGACGTTACTTATGGATATTTTTGGTTGCTATTGAAAATTTAGTCGATTGCTGAATTTATGTATGGGCCCAAATTAGGGACACTTAGGCCGACATTACCTGCATTTCCCCTATATGTATTTTCTCAGACAGTCAAGCTGCCCTAAGAGTATTGAATTCAGTTGCTTGTTCTTTCTAAATACGTTTGGAGATGCATTCAATTGCTAAATTCTTCAT